GGGGGCGTGGAGACTGCCATTTATCCCATGATGTGGAATATGTTCTTATTACCTCATCTCCATCGCTGCTGTATAATAAATTATTCCGGTCTAAGTGCATGTTCACAATGCTGTTGTATTAATCTGCTGTTTTTGCACAGGGAAAGTGTTTGCTTTGCCTAATAGACCTGAGCTGAATAACAAGAAAAGCTGGAAGAGGTTTAAGGAAGCACTGGCCTTTGCATTTTACCAGGCCTGCTTGCTTTTAGTTGGGATCTCATCACAAATATTTGCTGCTTCTGTCATTCTGAATTCACCTGTTTCCATTCTCCATCATTCAAAATGCAGAATGCCACACTTGACCTTATACTCCTTTTATAACCAATCCAGTGAACCTTAATTGTTCATTAAAAAAATAAGTCCTCTTCCAGCTCCCCTGATTGGCACTGTTTAGTGCTATGTGTATGCATTTACTGTTGTTTAGAATGGTTCCTGTTCATTTGTAGTTGATGAATATACGGATGAGTTATGGCTTTGTTTCTATTATTTATATACTTCATATTTAAACCTGCTGCAGAACAGGAATCTAATTTTAGAAAAGAAATATGCAGGTGAAACCAGACAAATTGAAAACTAAACATCAACTGTATAATATGTTTTCTTATCGGGAACATAAATAGTATCTTAGAATACTAATGGATGCGCTACATATATTAATGAGGTTTTTACCATATACTGCATATCAAAGGATCCCTTTTCCTTTACCATTAAGATATTCAATATTCATTTTGCATTCAGCGCCAACAGCTACAAATTGATAGCTCGCAGTTAGGAAATAAATGGCTATAAACTAGTTGCTACTTAACGTTTTCATCCCAACAAAGGATTTTGGAAGGATGGATAATTTAGATCTTTGAGCCTCAACTATAAATAAACAGCAACTGCTTTATAAATCCCACTCTGCAGTAGTTTAAGATTGTACTGCAAATCTGACAAATGATTTGCAAAAGCAAATGATGAACCCTTATTACCAAGACACTCTTTAACTTAATCCAAAACAAGATTCCTGGGTAATTTTGCATACACTATAAAGATTGATAGCATGGCTCTTGCCTGGCAGCTTTCAGATGTTTGACTGGATCGGAAATGGCATTCAGGCATGATTAAAGATTCAGTTGGGCTTCTCAGAAATTCTTTATCCCGTGTATTCATCATCCTAACTCACTGCCTTTGTTACAGGTTAAAGATGGGTGACCCCAGCTTCAGTGATTAGTACCACAACATCCAACTCTCAGCCTTAGAAAGAAAATGTTCGGGTTTCCCAGAGCTTTCTCACTTTTTATAAGCATGTTTTGCTTTTTTATCAGCACAGGTCATGGAGCGTTGTTGACAACTGACAAGCTCATTGTTTAAGGCTTTTTTTAACAAAGTTGTTAATGTTAATTCTTTTATAGAGCTCTTTAATCTTTTTCAAATTATGTACTGACATGGCACAAAACGGTTTGGCATTGAAAGTCATTCGATGGTGATTAAAGTGCTCTTTTTATCATTTTAAGAATGTTTCATCTCGTATCAACAGCCTGGAATTGTTTACTAATTAGACTCCCTAACATCCTGTTGTCTTGTGCTGATGATATGTGAACTGCAGAGCTGATGAGTAAAAAAATTATAACTTGTTACTAAACTGTCATAATATCTTACCATATAAAGATGTCACTCAAAGGATTGTGCTGATAAGGGATGAATTCTGTTTGCTGGGAAACAGTGTCCTCTCATCTTAGTTATGGTAGTGTTGGGATCTGTTCATAGATTTCTAGGGTTGGAAGGGACCTTGTAGATCATGGAGTCTGACCCCCTGATCTAGGCAGGAAAGAGCACTGGGGTTAAATAATCCCAGCCAGGTGCCTGTCTAATCTCTTCTTAAACACCTCCAAGGTAGGGGAGAGCACCACCTCCCTTGGAAGCCCATTCCATATTTTGGCAACCCTCACCGTAAAGAATTTCTTCCTGATATCCAATCTAAATCTGCTCCCCTTTAGTTTGTGGCCATTATTTCTAGTAACACCGAGGGGTGCCCTGGTAAACAGAGTATCCCCAATTCCCTGCTGACCACCCCCCCGATGCATTTGTAGACAGTTTGGATCTGTATTCCAGATTTTCCTAAAGCATTTGAGTTTCCAATAGGAACTAAAATTGTGCTTAGTCCCTACATGGCCTTCTTACTGCAATGAGGCAGCATGGGCCAATGGTCTATGGATGCAACTGAGAGCCATTCACTTTTCTTGACATCATTTCTCCCTGTAGCCTTGGGCAAATGATATAGGCCTAAATTATCAAAGGTCTTGCTGTGCCTACCTCCTACTTGTTAATGAGTTAAATGCCTCAGTACCTCTGAGGAGCTGGGCCTTAACTTCTTTCTCTCAGTTTTTCCATCTGATGAAATGGGGACAATACTGACCTAGTTCTAGGGAGCACCAGAGGTTTAATTAGTTAATGTTTGTGCACTGCTCTGATGATGCTAAGTGCTAAGTATGCTTAGCTTCACCCACCACACTGTCAGCTTTTGTGGGATAAATATGATTTCCATTTCCCTTCTTAAGGATAAAAAAAAAGAGTTCTTTGCTTGCAAAGAAAAAGCTGCTGTGCTCTTTCCTCCAAAACAGCCAACACAATGAGTGAAGTGTTTAGAAGTAGGTAAAGTAGCACTTGACCCAAAAGCAAATGGCACGTTGCTCATGTGGCGTTCTCAAAGGAACAGAGGCAGCTTTAAATGATAAAATATTTCAGTCTTCCCCTGATACATTCTTTCATCTTTTAAACAAATATCCCAGAGGACACACAGGAGAGACTCCCAGTGACTTCTTTGACAGTTGTGTGCGCGCCCGGGCTCCCTCAGTTTTATTATGGGTTATTTGGCTGCTATTAATTACCGAGGTTTTCACTGAAAAGTAATAGAATTGGGCTCATCTCAGATTAAAGTTGTTGGGTTTTAGGTTTTTTTTTAAATCTTCCATTTTGTGAATTAGCTGAGTTCTGCTTGAAGCACACCTGAATCTAAGTTGACCATAATGCAGCTTTTCAGTAATAGCATAGTAACTAGTCTTTTTCTTTCATCACGTTAGTTTTATTTTTCATTTAGAAAAAAAGTCCTATAGAACTGAATACAAAAAGCTTATAACCTTTTGTTAAGTCTTTTGGACCATCCTCTATACACGGAAGATCGATCATATCCATGCAGGGAAACTCTCTGATGGTTCAATCAGTCTATAGAAAATCTGCCATTCTCTCCTAAATAATATGGATTTTGAATGTAATTTCTATAGAACCCCATTTCATTTCTATAGGTACTACTGTAATATATAAGATTATTTCATAGGAGTATTTTAATAGATTATTTGGTTTAATAAAAGCATTACTAATTAGCACACTAACTTTTAAAAAAGATCTTTTGGTTTGGTAAGAGCTGTATGTTTCTTAAAATACTTAATACTAGCCCATTTGGTTTTGTCCCAGGATTAGGTTGCCATAGGGGAACATTTCTAAGTCACAGCGTTCATCGTTATTGACTTATTCCCATCTGAAGAGAAAAACATGGGTCCTGCTAGCTAATTACCCCCTGCTTTTTTTTTTTAGCATGTTGTGTAAGTTAAGAACGAATAGGAAACCCATCTTGAAGATGATTTAGGCTTTTTAGACAGTTTTGACACTGGAAGATGACAATGTTAGGTAACTCTCTTTGGTCCCCATTCACTCAACTCCTGGTTGATCCTTAGGTGTCATGATTATAATTACTGGATCTGAGAAGAAAATAATTTGAAGGAAAACATTAGAGATTAAAGCCCATTCCTACTCCCCATGAACTCATCTTCTTGTGGTACCATCTACTTTCTCTTTGGTTACCTTTTCTATTGTACTTGGCAGTCTCTTTTGTTCTGATTCCTATCAGATTATAATTAGGTACCACAAAAAGGACTAGTCTGCATACGTGATCATAAGATGCCAGATAAACAGTATCAGTTTTAAATTAGAGCTGCATGCACGATGTCTTGCTATGAATTCCTATTATGTTTTTAATTACAGCTTGCAAAGCAAAGCTTTGTCTTTTCTCTCTACAGCCTTTTTTGACAGAGGTTTGTCAATCTGAATGAGATGCTCCCACATCACATCTGCATGAGCTCCAAAAAGTTGGGGGCCCTTATTATTCTAATTTCCATCACAGAATTCAAACGTGATCCATTCTGCTTCTTTGCGCTTAGATTTTGGATGACAAAAGTCACCTGCACAGCTCTGATCTATCCGCTGTATTTCTTACAGATCTGTTAGTTTCCTCAAGTAGGTCTTAAAGGGTAGCAAAACTGCTGCAAAGCCTTGAGTCTCCGCAAATCAAGAACTTCACTTGCTGCGCGAAGCGGAGAAACATTTTGACACAGCAGTGGTGACAACTGCCACAGTAAGGTTGTTGATCAAAGATATACAGACAGTTTTGGCACAGCTCCCAATTGCACTTTACATGATAGGCTTTAACTGAAGTGCCCGGGTTAATTTTGTACAAGAGGTTTTAAAAAAAATAAAAATAAAACATCAGTCTGCATTGCTTATCAAGGTTAGGAAATCGTGGAAATCAAGGCGTTTGGTCATTATTTTCTGCACTGTAAAGGAAAACACGTAAAGCAGTGTTTTCCTTTTTTTCCCCCGGTGTAATAATAACAGCTGGATAATTTCGATGGTATTAACTCAGGCAAGATACTTGCAGAAGTTGAAGTATTTTCTGAGCAAAGACGACCCAGGATTTGGATCGATGCATTTTGGTTTTGCTTTGAGAGATGAATACGTCGTTATCAAGGTGCATTAAAATGAGCTTCCAGAAAGTCATGTGCTAGCCTTAACATTGTCATACTGTAAGTGAACTGTCAGCTGCAATGCTTTTTATTGATATTTTAATAAGACGCATGGTTTCACAGGACCACAGTCAAAATTACAACTATAATATATATATATCCTTTTTTTTTTTTTAATTCTAGCAACAAGGAGCTGCCACAACTGTCTACTGTGCCACTGCTCCAGAGCTGGAGGGCCTGGGAGGACTGTACTTCAACAACTGCTGTCGCTGCTTGCCATCACAAGAGGCCCAGAACGAAGTGACGGCTGCAGCCTTGTGGGAACTGAGCGAGAGACTGATCCAAGAACGAATTGGCAGGCAGTCCAAATAACAGGGAGCTCCTGTAAGGATCAAAACACACAGAGTATGTGCACACTAGAAAACTGCCAACACTGGAACCTATCCAATCTTATCATCTAGAGGGTTTCCATATACCTCAGATACAGATTAACCAGTGTTAAATGAAATAATAGCAGTCACAACATAGTGAAAAATGTTAAGTACCAATGGGAAATGGGGAATACTGTGGGTTAAAGGGACAATATCGCTTTCTGGGGCTTAGTTAGTCTTGGTTCTCTTTCTTTTGATTATAGCCTGTTCAAAGTGTAACCCAAGGAAGCATCTTTTATGTTATTTTAGAACAGCAATGCTGAGAATATTTTTGCTGCTTTAATGAATGGCTAAAAACATAGCCCGATACGGGATTTCCTTTCTATTTTGGTAATTATTCGCGGTTAGCTGTTATGCATTGATCATGATAGCTCCATTTATGCTTTTCCCTAAAAATTTTTACCGGGTGTGGCAAATACAAATGAGAGGAAGGAGGAAGGAAAGCTTTCCTGCCCTTGGCCGCTAGCTACAAATATAACTGCGCTGTCTAGAAAAAGAAGGTGCAAGAAGACATCCAAACAGAAATGGCAGAGTCACTGCTAGTTAAATATTGCAGGTTTTCCTTAAAAGATTATAATAAAAGATACGTTGTAAACCATTCCCTAAATACCGCAGGGGTAGGAAAGATGGTGTTGTCTCCTTAAGAACACACAAGGGTGTAATCAGGGGTTTAAATGTTATTCCATCCATGTCTTGGTTCACAGTTTTAAGAAGTTTTTTGTTTTTTAAAGGTCTTTAAAGGTTCACAGTTTCTCAGTTCTCCTGATACTGTATCCTGTTCAGCTTTTTTTTTTTTCCTTTCAATTTAAATTTAGTAAAAGAACATGCTTGAATACTGTCACCTGAAGAGAAAGTTTGTCTCATTGCTGCAAATGTTTTAGTTCCATATTTTTTTTTTTTTTTTTAATTTTAAATTTAGAAAAAGAACATGCTTGAATACTGTCACCTAAAGAGAAAGTTTGCCTCTTTCCTGCAAATGTTTTAGTTCCATATTTTTTTTTTTTTTTCCTTTCATTTTAAATTTAGAAAAAGAACATGCTTGAATACTGTCACCTAAAGAGAAAGTTTGCCTCTTTCCTGCAAATGTTTTAGTTCCATATTTTTTTTTTTTTTTTTAGAAAAGAAAACTTGAGGAAAAATAAAGAGCTTCTTGTTGATGTCATGAAAACGCTGTTTTTTTTTCTGGTTTCTTTCCGAGTTCATTTATGTGTGTTTGTGCTTTATAGCTGTCTTCACGCCAGAACGTTGTCCGAAGCCATCAGCATTCCAGCATTGTTTTCTGTAAAGAAAAAAGAAATAAAGATTTTTAATAGCGCCTTATTTTGCTCTGTTGCTGTTTATGATTTATTGACAACAGATATTCTTCATCGAGATTCAGGAAGTGGCTTAGTTTGATTAGCTGCTGAGTGCATGTTCAAATCCAGCAACGTACTCGTCAGAAATAAATAGCCGTGGTGCCCTCCCCATATAACGCATGCCAGTTTTAATAACGATGATGGTAATAATAAATAATAATACACATGTACGATTCAGTTTGTTCTGAGTGCTTTTCTTTTTAGCTTGTATGTAAAGGCAGTCAGGATGCAGGCAGCAAACCTTTCAGGCCCGCACAGAAACGCCCATCTCTCTTGCGGGCACGTGCTGAGGCTGGCCGAAATCCCCGAGACTGGCTGCTATGGGACTGTCTACGATATTCAGTTCTTCCAAACAGATTTTGGGTGTGAATGGTGGAGCCACTGTCCTGAGATCCCTGCACCACCCACCAGAGTTGGTCCTATGTGGGGCAAACAAATCCATCCTTGCCAAGGACGAGACCCAGGCCAGTTCACCAGCCACCCTTGTCACCTCTGTCCATTATCCCTCAGCCACTAATAACCTCTCCTGCTTGATATTTGACTGCTGGCATGACATTCCCAGTACAGCCAGTGCAGTGTTTATAACATCTGCGTAGACATTTCAAGAAGTAAGTTATTCTCTCGGTGCCCTCCCCCCAGATTATGAAAGACACGGATCCTCATCCAGGCCAATGGGAGATCCCCTTTTTTTTTCCTTTAATCCTTCAGACCTCCCTAATACCTAGACCGATTTCCTTTAAAATTTCCACGCTGAAATGATATCATGCCTGAACATTACCAGTGCAAGGGAAAGTGAAGATGGGATCAAAGCCAGGCTCAAAAAGAAAGACTAGTTGAAGTTTAGACAGTCTAGAAACTAAACGGCACTTACCACCTGTTCAACTGCCCCAAGAGTTGCACTGGGTTTTCTTTTCATAGCAAAAATAAAAAAGGATTAATCTAATACATGAATATTAATGGATCTAAGACGACAGAGAAACACTGCAGCACAGGATGCCATTTCTAGGTTAGATATGCAGAGTAATTAAACACTGCTGGGAGCACTATATTTTTCCTAAGGCCTTGGGCCTTATGCTCCATTTAGGCAGACATTAATACCCAATAATGCACATGCTGTCATTTCTAAGTGCTGCAATGTGGTAGGCTTTTATGAGAATTTGGTATTTAGCAAGATTGCTTTCCTTCAAAGACTATCTGTTTTTGCCTTCTCCATTGTTCATTTTGGGTTTTAAAAAGTGAAAGCATTTTTAATCTTGCAGATAGCCTTAGCTTTCATTGCTATGGCGGTGCTTCTGAGTTTGCTCAGCTTACCAGGTTCATTTGACACTTATGCCTGTAGCTGGTTACCAAATGCTTATTGACGCTAGTATGCTACTGTATCCAGAATTTTAATGTTGACATTTTCTCCCAGTCAAAGCCCGAACCATTTTTTTTCCTCTCTATGCTGTGCTGAAATAGCCTACATAAAACAAAATTTCCTCTCTTCCTCCAAACAAAGGAGCTCACTTGGTGCAGAGTAGCAGAATATTTGTTTTTGTAGCAGAATTTGTCAAAATAATTTTGCATACACATATGCACGCGCACACAGCTTGATAGCCACACAGAAAGGAAAAGGCTAGTGGGATTAGAAATGCAGAACGAGTTAAAAGAAACCCCCCCCCACTCTACTCTGATAAATTGTTCATGTCCTAGGTGAGTCTAAACCAGTGGCTTTGAAAGTTGCTTTGTATTTTGGTGTAAATTTTGGTACATTTGCAATTGATCAGCTTCATTTATTGACCAGTTTTTATTTTTTCCACCTGATTTACCTGAATCGATATCTGCAAGTGTTACCCCACGGTTGATTGATTCCAGTATTCATTAAAGTTAGTTAAATACTCAAGCCATACAAGTCTAATGGAACAGCAGACTCTGAAACCTTGACTGATCTTGTATCAGCAAAATCAAAAAAAATACTGAATAATGGAACACAGGTGATGTTACCTATCATTTTGGCAAAATTGTAATTTTGGTGATGTTGCCTATAATTTTGGCTTTCTTCAAACACATGCTAGTATTGATAGACATTTTTAATTCACATCCATTAAAATATATAGAGAAAGGGATAAAAAAATGTGCTGCTGTTTTATTGAGCTGTTTGTCTTCTTAGTCAGGGGCCACCAAGACGCCAACAGCTAGTATACTTCCTACTCTCATGCTGTAGGATTTGTCACATGAGGTTTTCTTCCCTCCTTCCTGTTCTTGCTTGTTCAGATCAACCATTCCCTTTTAAATCCCACAACTCTACATGCAGTAGGTGGGGTCTTATTTCTGCATTGTATTCAGACACGTGGATGAGCAGCCTCCTTTGCCACCAGCCAGTGGGCCAGCAGGTAGTACTCCAGAGCCAGGGTACAATCCTGGCACCAGTAAGGTCAATACCAAAATTGCATTTTCCATCTGTGGTGCTACTGTTATCTCTACCATGTGGTGGTTTTGGAGGATTATTGCTGTGATGGACCTGAAATCTAGTTATATATCCCAACAGTGAGACAACCAGAAATCAATGTCCAAGGGAAGTGGTGCTCGCTCCTACCCTGGGATTCTTCAGAAGGAGGGTAGACGATCACCTAGCCAGGGTCATTCGACCCCAGTACTCTTTCCTGCCCAGGGCAGGTGGTCGGACTTGATGATCTACTTGGGTCCCTTCCGACCCTACCAACTATGAAACTATGAAAACAGCCCAAATGACCACACTGGTCAAGTTTTGGGGTTTTTTTTTTTTACAGCAGAGAAGACAAATCCTCATATTCTGCAACCAGGTAGGTATTTTATTTGAGAGAGTCTTTCCAGCACCACAATAATTTCACCTACGTCAAGGCTGAATAACTTCCTGTCAGCTGTTAAGCTCATGACCTTTCAAGCTAAACACACTTTTACCAACTAGTTTACCACTGGAATGATCAATATCTGGACAGATTCTGGACAGATCTTACTTTGTCCTTTAGTTTTGCTTGTGTCTTTAGACTTGATAATTATTTCTGGCTGGCAAAAAATTACCTATCCATTTTATGTTCTGTACTTATCTTGACAGGATTATATATTCATAATTTGAACAGCAGTCTACCAGCCATACATACTGTGCACATGTCCTTCACATCAGCCTGAATTTAAGCTACAGTAATTAGGCTTTCTCCTTATGTATTTTTTTAAGCGTAGTATAAGTAAAGGTACTGAATGCAATGTTTGTACTGTGACTCTGGGAAGCCCTGCAAAAAGTTGACCCTTTTCCAGGTTCCTTGTCTGATTTAAGTGTGTATTTTATTTAGGTTTAAGTCTGACTTTGTATGCACTTTCTCTAAAAATCAGGTCTCCCAAACTACAATGAAAGCTGAGAAAAAATTCCTCTATTATTTTGAAGCCAAGATGCTCTGAGAGGGTAAAGCACATTAGTAGCACCAGTTATTTATAAGAATAGTATGCTTGTGGTTTTCATCTTGAAAGAGCCCAGATAGGTATTTTTACAAATAAGATTCATTTCAGTCACTGCTGAATTTCTGCCCTCTTTCCATGCAGCAGCTGGTTGGAGAAATGAAAGGTAGTTGTCCTTGGGAGCTGCACATAGCTACCCAGCATTGTGACTAGAACAGCACAGGTGATTATCCAGCCATAATTCCTTCCACCTCCAAAACCAGCCTGCAGAAAATTAAATTAAATCTCTACCTATCTGGTGCCCCAGTTGGCATGGTAAGTTACTATGTGGCTCTGCCCCCTCACTTGTCTGTGTCTTAGGTACTTCGACAGATCTGAGTGGCCGAAGTCTGAAGGTAAGAAGCACATGCAGGTCAGCCAAGACACCAGGGCTAGGGACAGACATTCAAAAAGCCTGAGCCTGAATTGAGTCAATCTTTGCAGGTTAGTCTAACCTGGCTAGACTAAATCAATTTTGTAACCAGACAGACATCCCAGAAATGCAGGCACATACCTGCGGTGGCTCAAGCTAGAAGCAGCCCTCCCTTCCCTTCCACAGAGCTGAGCTGAGGGAGGGCATGGCCAGCTCCCAGCAGGACACTAGAATAGGGAGGGGTTCCCCCCCTCCTGACCAACCCAGCAAGGAATGTTTATCACCCCTAACTCAGTGTTTATTGGCCCATTAAGAAAACAACAGAGGGACATTACCAGCTACCTGTTGATTCTGCCTTTGTCCCATCTGCCACAGCAGGGACCGTAGCCAGCATGTGTTCTGCTAGCTAATGCTGAGAGGTGTCTGAGAGGGAGGGGGGAATACCTGCTTAGCAGAGAGTGGGAGGCAGGGAGCAGAAGCCAGGTAGGCATCTGCAGTGTCTGCCTGAGCTGCAGCCAGGAAGCAGAGGGGAGGGGCCGGCCCTGCTGTGGAACCAACAGACCCGCCCAGCCCAGAGAGCATGCTGGGATGCTGGGGGAGTCTGGTTTAACTTAAACCAGCAAGGGGTCTGGGACAGTGTATAAACCGGTTTGAGCCAAATCAGTTAAGTCTGATACTACATTCAACCAGGTTTATCTCAGACCGGTTTTAGCCACCGGTTTATGTGCA